TCGGGCCGACGGCTCCGGTCCAACCGGCCAGAATGTTTACACCGGGCGCGATAATATCCGGTTTGAGTATCTCCGGGGTGATTGAATTTGGGCCTCTAGAACTGAACGCTGCGACAACCGGTGACGGTTCGATGTCTACTTTTGTTCCTCCAAAAAGAATTTCGGCCGTTGGATTAGGATCTGAGAATAAATATTTCTTGATTACATCACCGGCTTTTTGACCCACCGCCGCCGCTGGAAGTAAATGGGCGTCAGCCACTAGTTCCTCCCCATTTGCTGCGGTGTTAGCCAAAACCATGCCGGCTCCACCAGCCTCTTTTACCACAAAACCCTTTTGGACTCGAGCGCTAATCCCTCTGTCACACAGCACAATTTTTCCTTTAACTTTCTCAGGAATTAAGGTACCCATCATACAGAGATTTCCACTGGTTACATTGCTGGCATTACCAGCATACACCAAGGGAAGCATTTTATTAAGTAATGAATCACCCGCGTAAAGTGAAACGCCGGAGAAATTTTTACCATTGCCAAGGCTTACATATGCTGGAAAATCACGGTCAATTGTTCCAGCACCGACTGTGGTGATCCAAGGTGCTTGGTTGGCCAAACTGAATTGATTAGGTCCAGCATTTCCAGCAGAGCAAGAAACCAAAATACCCTTCTCCATAGCAGCAAAAGCTCCAATTGCAATGCTATCTTTGTAGTAATCTGGTGTGCTTCCACCAAGTGATAATGAAAGCACATCAACTTTATCATCAATGGCTTTGTCCATCCCTGCCAATATGTCAGAGTTAAAACATCCCCCAAGCCAGCAAACTTTGTACATGGCAACTCTGGCACGATAGGCCATTCCACGAGCAGTTCCTGAAGCATAACCAAAAAGGCTAGCACCCTGAACAACTGAACCAGCTGCTGTCGAAGCAGTGTGTGTTCCATGTCCATCATCATCCCTAGGAGATTTAGACTCCTTGGACTCATCAATTGGTCCAAGAGTAGTTTCATAACCCCTAGAAAAATACCTCGCTCCAACAAGCTTTCTGTTACACATGGCAGAACTGAAGTTGTTGCTGGACTCACACTCACCTTTCCACGAATCTGGTACAGGTCCAAATCCAGTATCGTCAAAGCTCTTTCTCTCCGGCCAAACCCCTGTATCGAGTACTCCGACAATGACATCACTCATAGCATCGGACTCAGGAAAGATATTAACACTTCTATCAAGTCCCAAAAAAAGAGGTGTCCGAGTAGTGTGGAGTTGGTATATCAGCTCAGGCAAAACAGAGAGAATCCCAGGTTGGGTCTCTAAGGATTCAGCTTGTCGAGCTGTAAGCCTTGCTGCAAAACCATGAACAACGTTTTTATAAACATAGATCATCTCTGCTGATTCAGAGACGGATTTGAGGGACGCGTCATACCAGTGAGTATGATCATCAAATATTGCTGGCATTTGTGATTTAGCCATGTGAATGATGTATGTTTTCTTCTCCACCATTGCCACAGACATGTGACATAGGCACACAAGTACAACAACTAGTAGTGTGTATGTAGACATTTTTGATTAATTTTTCGCTTGGACTGCTGCATTAATAAGAGGGAGTGGATGAACAAGCAATGAGAAACTTAAGGTAATATATATAGGAAAATTAAAAGAGTGGGGCTAGATGTTGATGTTGTTTTCTTTTTATGAATGATTGGAAACAGCCAGCCTAGCAGACCAAGTGATAAAATAAAGATTAAAGAGTAAAAAAAGAAGGATCACATTTCTTAACGTATGAAATCAAAGAATTTCATTCTCCTTTCATCACGTTATCTTCCAGTCCGCCTTTTTATCCACTTCTTTTTTTCTTTTCTAGTCAGTGAACCTCTTTTCACCTTCCACTTTACCATTTGCTCATTTGCACAAGAAAAGCTACAAAAAAGAAAAAAAAAACAGAATCGCAAAATTCTTCAAGTTGCCATCCAAATTTCATTTTCTTTTTACCTACATTAATGGCCATCCGCAAAGATGGTGAGTACTCTTTTATTCTCAATCATAGTTTCGCAATGAGGATATGGAGCAAAGTATTCCGTAGATTTTTTATTTTTTTTTACAGATTTCAGTTGGTAGGGAAATTCATTGCTGAAGGACACTTCGATTAATAAATGCTGTAGATTTCATGAAGAGGCTTGACGATTTCCAACTTCCAATAACTATAATAATAAAGATAAAAGGAGAAATAAATCTTTACCATTATGAACAATAGTGGTTCACGGGTCCATACAGAAATGGAGTAGCTTTTAGTGTTAGGAGTAACATTTATTTGTGTGGAAAAAAAAAAGAAGAAGAAGGAGGAGGTAGATGGTTGGTGAGATGTTAAATTAATTCAAATATCCTATTTTCTAACTATTACCATGTTTTGTTTTTCGAGTTTAAATTAGATATACCATCACTAAATATTTTAGTATTTATTTTCTTGTTGACTAATTAAGACAAAAATAATTATTGAAATTCTGTTTTTTTGTAGTTGCTTTATTCAAACAAGAACAGACAAGGTTCAACGTAGGTGCGGGGTCTAGTAATTAAACAAATCAAACATTATTTAATGGTAGATACCCTAATTATCGATGAAAAACGAGATATTTTAATTGTTTGTGAATCCCGTGTCCCAAAATTTGTACTATTATATACTATGAAATAGAGGACTTGTAGTGTTTGAGACTACCTTTTCTAGTAGCCTTTGAACATATAATAGAATAATTTTGAAAATAAAGATGTACCTTTCACAATTAAAATAAGGAAATCAAAAGCTTTTAAGTTTTGTTTATAGTTAGAGTATGATCTGGAAACAAGCAAGAGCAAGCTTAATCCAATTGCTGGCAAGAATTATACAAATATATATAATGATATTATTAGTTAATAAATGAACTACAAAATGTACAAGTAATCTTGTATATATTTTTCTTGCTTCTTTCAAATTAGGAAAAAGTACGTGTAATGACAGTTGAATAGTATAAGACCTGGGAATATATTTGCAAATTATCTAATCGAGTCTTTCATTATTTGAATGTGACATTCTTGGGTGTAGGCTACATACTTGCATTCATGGATTTGCTGATGAGAATGATATTATGTGTTAATTGGGACGAAATTTTAGGACTTCTTATATGATCTGGACAATTCTTCTCTCTTTGATATAGAATTTAAGGTCGATTAATTTGATTCGAGATTAATTTAACATGTTATTAAAGTCGATTCAATTGAGTGTGATGTGGGGTCCACAAACCAAGTTGGGGTGGTGATATGAATGATCGCATATTATATTTGGAAGAGATTGGTGATTTTTCTTATATGATTTTGAATAATTCTCTTTCTTGGAGCTAGCTTTTGAGATTGAGTCCAAAATTCATTCTAACATATGTTCTATCATACGTGATTTCTTACATTGGGGCAAAAGCTTCAACATGTATAGAGTACAAAATTTCTAGTCACTACAAAAAGACATTTAGGGGGAATAAATATTTCCTTATAACGCAAAAATATTTAGCAATAATTAAGTTAATGTTATTACATTTAATGAGAGTAAAACCTTTAACAACATTTATATAAACTGTTAGTTACAATTAATACCCACCCAAATTTACTGTTACCATTAAATATAATATAGCAATAATTATATTATTACCATAAAATTCTTTATTTGTTGAGGTAACCTTCTATGAAACTTAAAACTTTCTTTCATTGAATGAATAACTTCTAGTCCTATAATATTTGTCAACAACACGGTATAAACAGTATAGAACATTATAAACCATATAGTAGAATATTAGTTGTCATTTTACAACTGGTAAATAACACTGTCATGTGGAATTTCATTTACTTGTGGACTTATGGTGTTGCCAGATTGGCAATGATCGAGTTAATGACTATCATATACTTTCAATGAATTTCTTTTTTGCTGGTCCACTGTTGATTTTTTTAAGTGGGGATATTTTGAATAGGATACATGCTTCATTATAAAATTAAAAAAATGGCAACTATTTCCTAATATTTTTAAAGACCATCCAGTATAAAAATAAGTGTTAGGACGAAATGAGCTGTAAGACAAAACATGTGTGATCATCAAACTTATGATGAATTTCTATGTTTACCAGAGTGTAACCAGTTTATGAGTTCGTCAATTCAGTAACAAATTGATCATTTGTTAGTGTTAAAAATGAGCTCAAATATAGGTAACATGATCAAGTTATACTAAATTTCAAGGATTAGGCTCAAGATAATTTGAGTTGAGTTCAATCTCAATTTATTCACGTCTTAACCTAAAAGAATCCTAATTGGACCTAATTTAACCTCCAATTCTAAGTCCGTCGTAAAACTCTTTTTTTGCATTGATATAATATGTGTTCCTATTTTGAAGATATAATTACTATCTATATTTTATCTTTTAGAATTTACTTATCCATTTTTAATTTTTTTATAAAAATAAATATAAAAATAAAATCTTGAGTTGAAAATCAATTGTGTCTATAAAAGTTAAATAATAGTATGTTAAAATTATTAACATTAAGCATGTCAAATTGGACAAATTATAATTCAATTCAATTTTTAACCAATTAAGTCCAAATAAATTTAGATGGTCAAGACTCGTTCTAAACTTCACCTCTAATTTCTTGGAAGGATTATCAGGCTACCATGCCCTTAAAGTCTATATGTGCCAGACTAGACTCTTAAAATTATGACATATTTTATTTTCTTTAACAGAATTTGTTTTGACGTAAAAAAAAAATTTATTTATCTAACAAAATAAAAAGCTTTATAAGATATCAATACATATTTCTAGATATTTGATTTGATATGAAATTAACTCGAGATCAATTTCTTTTTTATTTGAGAGTATTGACTATACCCCAGTTCGGAGCTTCATGCATGTTATTCATTCCAAGTGACATGTTCGGTCTGTAACCAGTGTGAAATCTCGAAAGAATCAAAGATTCATATATTTATGCATCTATACAAGTATATATGAAGCATTAAGTGATACTTGGCTGAAAATAATGTCAAAAGTATATGAGATACAGCACCTAAAACCACACTCAGATACAATACTTGGTACGAAACATCACTGCACTGTGAGCAAGAAGCATAAATTTCTTTGATTAACTTTACATTAAATCGATAGCAGCTATATATAGCTCTTTAATTTGTTCATATAATTCATGACCAAGAAATTGCAACTGGACTAGTGACCAAATGCGTCCCATCTGACCACTCAATTTTGCCGAATACATTGGTAGATGGGGGCTTTGATGGAGCAGTAAAACTCACACTATACGATATCTTCTCATTAATCTGAGTAAAACTAACTGTTTCAGGTTCAACTATAATTTCCACGGAACTATCGGGCAAAGTAACAGCAACTTTGTATGTTCCAGACGGTCCAACATTAGTCAGTGTCCGGCTGTATCTGATTGTGTTTGAACCGGTATCGGCAGGGAATGCAACTGAAAACGAAGGGTAATTCAAATCTGTGACGCTGTATATTTTGCTTGAATCACATGTGAAGTTTCTTCTTGCTATGATATTGATTTGTGATGGACTGTATTTCAATGCACACAGGAAATTGAGGTAATCATCGGCGTTTATGTCGTAAACAAGACCTGGGTTCACCGCTGAAACGGGATCCACGTGCCCAGCGCCGTGACCGAAAGGTGTAGATGGTTTTCCGGTAGCTACGTCTAGTAGTGCTCCGCCGTTCCTGTAGGTGGTGTAAGCGGTGGTCATGAGCGCCGAACGAATGGCGGCGGGGCTCCATTCTGGGTGGACTCCTTTGAGCAAAGCCGCTAAGCCACTCACGTGTGGACACGACATGGATGTGCCTGAGATAATGTTGAACTCGACCCGTCTATCGTCCTCAGGCAACCCCGTAGGACCGACTGCACCGCTCCAACCGGCCAGAATATTGACACCTGGCGCGATGATATCCGGCTTAAGTATCTCCGGCGTGATGGAATTTGGGCCTCTGGAACTGAACGCTGCAAGAATCGGTGCTGGTTGGACTCCTACCATTGTTCCTCCAAAAAGAATCGTGGCCGTTGGATTAGGATCTGATGTTATATACTTCTTGATTTCATCGCCATCTAATTGACCCACAGCCGCCGCTGGAAGTAAATGGGCGTCAGCCAGTAGCCCCAGCCCATTTGTGTTAGCAAAAATCATGCCGGCTCCACCGGCTGATTTTACCACATAACCCTTTTCAGCTCTGACGTTAACCCCTCCGTCACACAGCACAATTTTGCCTTTAACTTTCTCAGGAATTAAGGTTCCCATTATACAGAGATTTCCATTGGTTGCATTGCTGGCATTACCTGCATACACCAAGGGAAGCATCCCACTGGGTAATGGATCACCCGCGTAAAGTGAAACACCGGAGAAATTTTTACCATTGCCAAGGCTTACATATGCTGGAAAATCACGGTCAACTGTTCCGGCACCCACGGTGGTGATCCAAGGTGCTTGGTTAGCCAAACTGAATTGATTGGGTCCAGCATTTCCAGCAGAGCAAGAAACCATAATACCCTTCTCCATTGCAGCAAATGCTCCAATTGCAACATCGTCGCTGTAGAAATCAAAATGCTCTCCACCAAGTGATAATGAAAGCACATTAACATTATCATCAATGGCTTTGTCCATACCTGCCAATATGTCGGGGCCAAAGCATTTCCCAAGCCAGCAAACCTTGTAGACGGCAACTCTGGCACGATAAGCCATTCCACGAGCAGTTCCTGAAGCATAACCAAAAAGGCTAGCTCCCTGAACAACTGAACCAGCTGCTGTAGAAGCAGTGTGTGTTCCATGTCCTTCATTGTCCCTTGGTGATTTAGACTCCTTGGACTCATCAATTGGTCCAAGAGTAGCTTCATAACCACTAGAAAAATACCTCGCTCCAATAAGCTTTCTGTTACACATGGCAGAACTGAAATTGATGCCAGACTCACACTCACCTTTCCATGACTCGGGAACAGGTCCTAATCCGGTATCGTCAAAGCTCCTTCTCTCTGGCCAAATCCCTGAATCGAGTATACCAATGATGACATTACTCATAGCATCTGAGTCATTAAAGACATCAGGTCTGTTATCAAGACCCAAAAAAAGAGGTGTCCGAGTAGTGTGGAGTTGGTATATCACCTCAGACAAAACAGATAGAATCCCAGGTTGGGTCTTTAAGGATTCAGCTTCTTGAGCTGTAAGCCTTGCTGCAAAACCATGGATAACATTGTTATAAACATAGATCATCTCCGCTGATTCAGAGACCGATTTGAGGGACGCATCATACCAGTGAGTATGATCATCAAAAGTTGCTGGCATTTGTGATTTAGCCATGTGAATGATGTATGTTTTCTTCTCCTCCATTGCCACAGACATGTGACATAGGCATACAAGTACAACAACTACAACTATCAACGGGTATGTAGACATTTTGATTATTTTTTGTGTTTTTCCACTCATTAGTTCCCTTGGACTTCTGCATTAATAAAGGGAATTGAATGAACAAGCAATGAGAAACTTTAGGTAATATATATAGGAAATTAAAAGAGTGTTAAGTGTAGTGAAGTGATGAGGCTACTGGTGAGGTTGTTTTCTTTTTATGAAATTATTGGGAAGATCCAGCCTAGCAGAATAACTGATAAATGGAGATTAAAGAAGGAAAAACGACTATAAAAAGAAGGATCGCATTCACAGAAATCACATTTCTTAACGCAAGTAATCAAAGAATTTAGAGTACAAAATGGTAATGCGTATTCTCCTTTCATCATTTTATCTTCCGTCTTTTATTTTTTGTAGTCAGTGCTAACCTCTTTTCACCTTCCACTTAACCGTTTGCTCATTTGCACAAGAAAAGCCAGAATAGAAACAGAAATCCAAAATTCTTCCATCCTACTATTGGTTCAAGTACGAGAGTGATAAGTACTCATTCATTTTTAATCATAGGTTTTCATATAGAATCTCTTTTTATTAGCTGATATCTGGATAGCTGTTTTGCGACTCGACTAATTTGAAGTCACTCCAAAAAGTCTCAAGTAGATTTCACGAAGAGAACTTGAAGATTTCCAACTTCCAGTACTACAGTTTTAGGAGTAAACTTTATTTGTCTGAAAAAAAATAAAGGGTAGATAATTGGTGAAAGTCGAAATTCTACCTTCCGAAAATTAATTCAAATGTCCCAATTTCGAATGATCATGATTGTTTACTTTTCGAGTTGAAGTTATATATTTTGTTCTAATATGATTATGTTATTTTTCTTGTTTTCCCAATTACTAATCATTTTTGTTATATATAGTAATCTGTTATAACAAAATCAATTATTGAACTCTGTTTTTTCTAGTTGCTCTATTCAAACAAAAACAGACAAAGACTAGACAAGGTCTAGTAACTAAACGAATCGACATTATTTAATGTTAGATACCCCTAATTATCGATGAAAAAGGAGAATATATTATTGTCATTTTGTGTAGGGGGTAAAATACAATAGAAACACGTGAACTCCCAGTCCCAAAAATTAGTATTCTATTAACATTAGGAGAATGAATTAGAGGGCTCTTGATAATAAAAATACAAAACGAATAAAGAAGTTAGTTATTGCGCTAATTCTAAAATATGATTCATTTCTGGATTTTAGGATCGATCTATTTTACTTGTAGTCTTGGAGCATGATAAAATAATTTTGAAAAGAAATATATAACTTTCCCACATAAAATAAGGATATCACAACTTTCAAGTTTGGTTTTTTGGTTAGAGTTCGTTAACAGGCAAAAAGAAGCTTAATCCGAATGATGGCAAGAATTATATAGATATATAATGATATTAGTTAGTAAACCAACTACCAAATGTATGCGTAATTTTTTTTTCTTTTTTGTATATTAAGTTGTGGTGCATAGTGTTTCATCCTTAACTAGAGATTTTATGTTCGAGCTCAAGTATGAAAGAAAATTTTGTTGGGAGCATCACCTCGAATGGATCTTACAAAGCGCAATTCAAATTCGATCGAAGCTCCAATACGGATTTTGAACACTTTGGCCGAAAAAAAAAGCTTTTTGGATATTTTCTTTCTTTCTTTGTAGGATACATGCAAGAAAATATGTATCGACAGTTTTCTCTTTATATGTCCTATTGATTGTAGTTACCTTGAAGATTTTGTACAAGGCTCCATTTGGGAATATTTTGCAAATTATCTTATCATGTTTGTTATATAATTGTAACTTTCTCGGGTATAATTACATTTGTGATGACCCCACATTTGGATTGGGACAAGATCTCAGGATTATATGATTTGACAGTTTTTTTCTTTTTGATCTTGATTTTGAGGTTAAATATTTAGGATAAAGATTCAAATAACATGATATCATATCTAAGCCCATTAGATCCTCTATTTGAGGTTAAGTTAAGCCAGATATTGATTTAACATGTACAACAGTCAGACCCGTTGACCCAATATGGGCCCCTTGGATCGTGCAGGGATGTGAATAAAGCCCGATAAATTTGTTCACACTCTAGTCCACACAATGTCTAGTTATATTGCTTAATCAAATACTATATATAGAGAGTAGCGAATTTCTAGCTTTTGAAACTTATAATATTTACTAACACCACGGTATATAAAACATTATAAATAATAGTATATTATTACTATTATTTTAGTTGTAAATAACATTGTCATAATTTCATTTACTTATTATGACTTCAGATTGACAACGAGTTAATGAACTAGCATATACTTCATGTGAATTTATTTTTTGTTGGTCCAACTGTCGATTTTTAGAGGAGATATTTTAAAATGGCAAATATTTTCTGATATTTTTACAGACGCACCCCACCCCCTAAAAAAATAATTCAAAAATAAGTGTTTAGGACCAATATAATTGTGAGTTGTAATGCATAAAAACACTCTCCTCTAATCAGTATGGTCAAACATATGAATATGCATGTCGATGGTACCGTGAGATAAATGATAAGTATATATTATCTGGTAATTAGGCGTGAGCATTTAATATAGTGACCAGAGTAATAATCATAACAAATTAATTTTCTTGTTCAGCTAGTTAGTACACATTAATAAGATTGTAAATTGCAATTTAGTTTTATCAAAATTCTCATGTCAAACTTGAAATGAGGAGTATATAAATCAATATTACCCAACTATTGATATTACAAAAAAAAAAACATAGGCTACTATCTGAACTCTTTGATTTATAAATGCGACATAAAAGCGAGAAAAAAGACGTTTTGACTGAAAATTTGCATGTTGTGCTCTTAAGCTGATTCAATGTCTTTACGCCTCTCTTTCCTGCCAACTCACCAACTGACTAGGTAATAACTTCACATCTTCCTTTAATAGTCGTTTGTACTGACTTAAAAAATAAAAAATTAAATTAAAATATATTTTAAATTAAATATAACAGTAAGCAAATTTTTATTTTTACTTTTAATTTATTTTTAATAATACTAAATACTCTCAATAATTAAAAAATAAATTTAACTAACTTTTAACTTTTAAGACGTTCAAATCCAATCATGTGTCCAGGACATGCAAATGGGTAGAGCAATTGTCTAATCAAAACAACCCAAAAAAAATAAATATTTTTTTCTCCTATCTCTTTTATAAAATTCTTTTCTTTTTAATTTGTCTAAAAAATGATATATCTATATATTAAATAATAATTTAATTTTAAGATACTTATTTTACTTCTAATAAAATGGCTCATAGGCATTTAAATATTTATTATTTACTTTAGATCATTAATTTAAGGAATAATGCACAAGTAACCCCCTTAATTTATGTCCAAAATTTCAGAGGCACAATTATACTATACTAAGATCCTATTACCCCTAAACTTATTTTATTAATAATTTTCTAGCCCTTTTCGATCTACGTGGCACTATCTTATGGGTGTAACGCTGGTTGACTTTTTTTTTCAATCTAGTGCCACGTAGGCCGAAAAGGGATAGAAAATTATTTATAAAATAAGTGCAGGAGTAATAAGACCTTAGTATAAGGTTGAGGGAGTACTTTGTGCATTTTCCCTTAATTCAAATAGGACATATAAATAATTAACTATTAAGTATATTCATTTGGCCATAGATTTTCCAAATAATATTTGGGAAAAAAATTGACAAATAATGTTTGTCCATACAATTTGCCATTATTTGACAAATATTTTTGGCAAATTTCTTAAATTTCCAAGTACTAGTTTTTTCTAGTATTTCGGTCAAATCTTATTATTTGTGATATTTTAAAAATTAAAATTTTACCCCAAACTTTTATCTTTTAAAAAACACCCTCTGTAATAGTTGTTTCCGTTCTATTACATAATTTTTTACGTCAACACCAAAATAGTGATGAAATATTTAGTGAATATTAAATAATGATATGATTGTTGATGAAAATGATGAAAAATTAGTTCAAGGTAACAAAGTCAAAAGTCATGTGATTCGTCTACTTCACAATGTACTGAATGATGCTTGTTGCACTCACTAGTGCCATGGACACTATTTGTTATTATTGTAACGAACAACCAATTGACTTGTAATACAAACTTATAGTTAGTTTTGATAGTTTTTAAAACTTATGGGCATAAATCATATTTTTCTAAAAAAGTGAAATATATTTCACAAATCTTATGGACAAACACATGGTAAAATTTCACTCAAATTTTTATCTCAAATAATATTTATCAAAAATATTTAAAAATTTATGGTCAAACGCTAACTTAGTGTATACCGATACCACATATAATAACCTTGTCGATAACATTGCATATTATGATTTTAAAAAAACTAGACTAATAGAGGAAATCTTTCACACTATCAGTGTGTGTAATTTTAAATGTTATTATTATGCAATTACTGAATCGGTTTAACTCTATGTGGAAGCAAAAAAAGAAATCCAAAATTTGGAAAACTTTCGAATGAATGCATAGCCCCAAGTATGTGAGATCTCTGTGGGCATCTCTATAAAATGCCCAAACTTTAAATTCTTTGGTTACATTTTTGGAAAAAGAACAGATATACTCCCAAATTATTTTAAATGATGTGTAAATATTTTTCGTCATATTTTTGAAATATTAGTGTTCCTGCCTTTATACTTTTGGGACATTTATGCTTCTATCGTCATATTTTTAAAACATTGATGTTCCTCCCGTCATACTTTTGGGACATTGGTGTCCCTGTCCCTTCGTTAGAGTGAAGGGTATATGTGCTCTAATTTATGGACGACGGGAACACCAATATCCCAAAAAAATGACGAAGAATATTTTTGTACCATTTACAATACATCGAGGATATATTTATCATTTTCTCCGTCATTTTGAATGCATAAAGGCCTTGTTGGAAGTAAAGGCCCGCTATCTTACATGAATAGCAAGACCAGTAGTAGTGTTGTAACATAATTGATTTAAAAATTTGGATATCTATTAAGGAGCTTTTGCCTACTGCCAAGTTAATTCAGGTAAGTACTTCTGCCTTTCTCGTAATCCCACTCTATAGCAAGACGGATAAACAAAAACTGGCAAAGAACAGTAGTAATTAAAAGTTGAAAATAACAAATTTTGGCTTGAATCATGCTAGAATGTTAGTGATTAGATTTTAGGGTTAAAACATTTAACTCGTAAATCCTCAAATTTTTAATAGTTGACAATACTGTCTGTATTATGTAATCTTTTGCTGCTGATTCTGACACTCAAGGAGTGCTGCCGCAATTGTATGAATTGGAGAATATATTCTATTTGTGTTAAATTATAAGTAGTAGTAGTAAATTTTTTATGAGATAGGGTTCCTCTAATAGGGGAAGATTTGAGCACAACTGAATAAAGGTTCATCCCTAAGAAGAAGGATTCCTAAATTTGCCTCCACCTTGTTTGTTTTACAGTGTTCACTTTATTTTCGTAGTGAAGGGAGAGATTGTTATCGGTTTCAAGTATTGGTTTTGATGATGATAAATATTCTAACAGGTGAGAAACTATTATTTTTCCTCAAATTATGGCTTGCAGCACATAGGCATTTTGATTGGAGAGTTTTTGGCTAAAAACATTCTTTTAAGTTATATCACAAAATTAAACTAGATTCTTAATGTATCATTCTTAGCAGAAAACATCATTCAAGTACTTAAAAGGAAATAATTTTCATCCTTATATTAAATATTGCTAAAAAACTAAAGGATCTTATAAAAACACGATTAGTTCATGTGACTATCAACAAAAGTTTTTTATATAATTTCATTATTTGCTATAAGAAGTTTTTAAGAAAATATTAAAAATCTTAGAAACCATTAATTATTGAAACAAAAAAAATATTTGAAGGGTGTGAGGATACATGATCTGGTCTTTTTCTCATTTAATAACGTAAAGAAGTTAAAGTTTAATTATCTTTACCTTTTTCAAAGTCAAATTGTATTTAGATTAATAAATTTTTGGATCAATCACATATTGAAGTAATCAAAATATTGATTCTGTCTCGCATTTAAATTTTATTCTACATTATTAGAAGCGGAATTCTCCAACAAACGCCGCTTCTAGCATATTTAATTGAGAAGAAACATATTCAGCTAATAATACTTTTAATATCAAATTACATGAAAAATAAATTAAATAAAAGTCAAATTAAAAGATATTGCATAATGCAAAACTCAATTACGAAAAAGTTCACGATAGTATTTTTGATGTATCCAAGAATAATAATGCTTTATTTTTGTGGTATTTGTTAGTTTTCTAATAAATTCAAGTATAAGGATGAAATTTGTTCACTTTTAAATACTTGAAGGATGTATGTTAAGTTTTGGGTATAGATTAAGGATGATTTTAGCCAAAAACTCAATGATGGTGTTAACATTTTGGGTTATGATTCTCTTTCTTTTGTTCTTTGCATGCGCATTATCTAATGCATAAAACATCAAAATTTCTTCGTTAAAATTATAAGAAGAGGCTCAATTGTACAGATCTTTTGAGCAATCACAGAATTTAACTGTAGCTTTCTTCACTTATATATATCCTCTTATTTAACTAAGTCTTCCCATTTGCAGTACTGTCCACCGGCCAATGCACGATAATACCTATCTCTGCAGTAAACTGGCCTTCCATCAGCTGCTTCAGCGGCAGCTTTTGCTAGATCATCGTCCTCCTTGACTTCCAGTGGCAAGCGCAACAGTTCTTCTTTCCTTTAATTACATAGCGAAACAACGTAAGCTCATGAAATTTTATAGTATTGTACTTCTTAAGTTTTCAATAGAATTACCTGATGCCTAGTTTATTTGTGCTGTTTGTTGAGGTGGAACTCAATGAGTTCTCGTTTGTTGTGAAAGTATTGCGGAAAAAATCTTCTACTGGTGTTGCAAATATGAATAATGAGACTGCTGCAACAAGCAAAGCCCCTGTTCCAACTAGCGTTTGCTTCAGCATTTTAATGACTGGTTTCACCTAGGTAAATAAATTCTTTCAGCTTTGTCAAGCTCGTAATAGGAAAGATCTACTCTATTGACAGTTAGAATATGATGTAACCAGCTGATGAATTTTATAGATCAATCTGGTACCTTATAAGATCCCAACAGCCTATCCCGAGCTAAGATCTGCAAGGAATAATCACATTAAATGTCATACGTGCAACATCATTACAGACTTTTAGAGCTTGGATTCTGATAAATTTTTCAAGAAGTGCAGGTGGCTATAGACTTTTAGAGCATGAATTATTACAAGTGCGGAACTAATATTAGCTTCATGTATAGACGTTGTTCCATCATGTAGTGTTATTGTAAAAGATAATGCTATTACTTTCTAGAAGATCTGTTGCTCAAAGTTTCACGGAAAGATAACTACATTTCTATACCATGAAAAGTAAGAACCTATTTTATTGAAATCTTTAGTATAGCTGTTTGTGCTAAGAAGAAAAGGGTATTGTGCAAGGACTGATGATTTAACCAACACAAGGAAGTACAACTTATTGCTTTCACATGTAGCTTCATTTCCCGCGTTTTATTTGTGATACCAAATTTTAAGTCCATTTCATGCTATATTGGACCATTTTCACCTCACTGTTAGTCGTTAGGGCTCTGGGCGCTTGCTCTTATCTATTATGTGATACAATTCTTGTCAAGCAATATTACACCATTTCCCCCTTGTTGCTAGCTATGTATTCTTCATATCCATGAGCACTTGTTAGATTCAGTTTGTCAATGATTAAAGTTCATATTGTTAACCTTCTTTTTTTAACAAAAGAGTTCAACTTGACTTACTTTACTTAGATGTGCTTGATGTAACTAGTATAAATGACCTATTTTAGTGAACTGGATTGAAGCTAATTTATCCATTTTGAAGCTGGCAATATTTTCCTACTGTGGGAATGAGGAGGAACAGAGGAAGCAAAGAGAAAGAACCTGTTAAATAAGTATGCAAAGGAAAGACCACTAACCTCTGGGGGCTTCACCCACATCTGCCCATCATACCATCCAGTCTCTTCATAAGGTATAACTGCTGATAAAAGCCTATCTCCAACATAGCTCCATCCCTATTGTGGTCATTGTCAGGAATTAGAATGTTACGTAGAATATTAGAGAAGTTAAGTTCTCAAATTATCTATCTCCAGCGGAGCTCCTATCCCTATTATGGTCATTGATTGAATGTGATCTAAATGATTTGACCAAAAAATTGAAGTCCTGCAATTGAAGAACTTTACCAGATAAATTCTTAGGACAATCAGTGCAACAAGAAAAAGAGTCCCCGTACTTGCAGCCAGGAGAAATCTTAAAGGATCCTGCAGGAGGATTATGAAAAATTGAATGTCAATGATTGTGAGGATTCTTTGATTTTATTTTTGACTTAGAAATAAATGAAGAAAGAAAACGAAAGCTCTTTGTTTACTATTGACACTTGAGTAATCACTTTGGAACTCTCCTGAGAGAAAGAACTTGCACAAAGTTAACAATTTACCTTTGAAGGATTGAAGCTTGCAGCAGCAATAGGTACTCCCAAAACTGCGAAAGTGACTAACCAAAGTCCCCCGAGACGTAGGAAGAAGGCCCCTGGACCCAGTTCTGCCCAAGAGTATAAAGTTTCATCTTTCAGAGATGAGTACTCATTCACCTGGTAAAAAGCACTAGCTTAGTTAATACTTTAAATTGCTCACCCATCTCCATATCAAGTCCTCCGTCCTTATGGAACTTCAGAAATTTAGTACATGTTGAAAAGTAATTTACTGAGTCAGTTTTATCATTTCAATAATCCTATAACCTGCATTAGAAGTTTATCGTATAATGGCATGTCTCATCTGTGCAGATCTTGTGGCCTTCTCAGGACTAGTTTTAAGTTTTTTACACTGAGAGTGTAAGAATATTTACAGAACCAGGTCAGTTATAGGGAGATTGCAAACCAATCTCTATGATTAAGCTAAAGAAAAGTTCTATCACAAGTGGGACAATAAGAACAGCATATAAAATCTTTACACTATCAGAGTAATAGTGTATAAATCTAAACTAGTATGTGAACTGAGATGAGTCTTTTCTATTGATTTCTGCAGATTGGATCAAATGGATGAGGCCAGGAATGAATACAAAGAATTGAGAACATACCGGCCTTTGTTCAAATGGCACCTCAATTTCCAAGCCTGGGTCCCAACTACGACCACCTAATCCACTGCCATTCGTGCCACCGTTCATCCCATCTTTCAGGGCTTTAACTCGAATGTTCCTCCGACATACAATCGTTGCTTTGTTCGATAAAATGATCCACGAGCGGCAGCTTTTGTTGACTTCTATCGGACTAGAAACTATGGAGCCATATAAATTTAGCCTTAGCATTTGTGAATTTTCTTGCAACCATAGAATTCAGAAGAAAAAGTAGCTAGATAGAAGTTCTTTTTTTTTTTTGACCATGCATCATACGTGATGGAAAATTATCAGTAGTTGAATATTCTCTGTTATCTCCCCCAAAAATGACGATCTTTATAATTTCTTATCTTTGTCCAATTAGAATCAGCCAACTGAGAGCTGCTCTTTTGGATTGTGTGTGTTCGACCACCAGTTTAAACGTTGTGGTCCACTTATGTGGCTCCTACATAGGATTATCTTGAATTATAGATTGTAAATAAATATGAAGCATTTTTTGTGGTACTCAAAGCAAATTCGTGGGTAACTTGTGTTGCAACGTGGAAAGATTATCCTTGCACACCACTGTTACCTTCATTTCTCATTGTTCCACGAGTTCTTTTGTGCTCTCTCTGATTCCTATTTGAAAAACAATACTAACTTAATTTTGTTTTAAACTTAGACAAATAATTTGGGATGATAAAAAGACGAAAATTATTTTTGGAATGAAGGGAGTATAAAAGTCTTAAATTAGAAGGTTAGGTTGGATCAAGTTAAAGTCATACCACAATTGCTTTTATGATTTGAAGATTGAAGGTTCCAAGAGGACCAAGACATGATTTATTCCAAAATAGACTTGAACTACTCAAACATATGAAATTATTAATATTCTATTTAGTGGGAAGACGTTGAGATCATTTGGGAATGAAAGTTTAGGTAAATATTCATCGAATTTATTCCATTTTTGTGTACTTCATAAAAACGTATAAAATTATGGACAACTTTCACATATAGCAAATAAAAATTTTATATTTGTATGCTATAGCAAAGTTTGCATAATTGCGCTCCATAGCAAACATAGAAACTGTATAATTCGCTATACATATATAGTTGAAGCAAATTGTATTAAACGAAGTGTATAAAACAAGAAAGGGAAAGACACTTTGGCAGAAAACTGTATAAAAACGAAGTGTATAAAACGAATTGTATTATTATAAGTGTATAGAAAGATTATATACAATTTGAATTTGTATAAAATAAGAAAGAGAGAAAGACAAAAGAGACTTGACAAGGAATATACAATTGAATCGAATTGTATAAACGAGAAAGAGAGAAATTAGATACAATTTGAAAATTGTATAAAAGGAGAAAGAGAGAAAGGCAAAAGAAACTAGGCAGGGGAGTATTTTTTATTATATAATTATAAGTGTATAGGACGAAAATATATGTACTTGCATGTGTATATACAATTTTCTCACGCTTTATACAAACAGAAACGCAGCTTATACATTTCTCTTCTGTTTGTACAGGTGAGAAAGGCGAGGGTGGCGAGCGAGATCTGGAAGAGGGGAGAGAAGGGAACAAAATATATGTATTTATACAATTTTCTCTGTTTTATACAATTAGAAACAATTTTTATACACTTGTGTTTGTATAAAAAGTGAAGAAGCGAGCACGAGAGTGGCAAGCGAGATATTTGGGAGAGAGGCGCCTGACAATTTTTTGCAAACGTTTGCTATGGAGCACAATTAAATCAAACCCTAACTACTCTATTTATTTTAGGTTATTAATTTGTTATTATATACAATTTTTCTTAAAATTATTGACATATTACTGTGAGATAAGAAATTTGAAAAAATATTATGTTATAACTTTTGAACGTTTTTTTAAGACATTTATTAACTTTTGATGAATAGTAAAATTGTTTAAAAGATGGCTGAATCAACACCATTACAGAACATACATTTAAATAAAAGCCTTAAAAATTATTACATATATAGCACCTCTTATTAACGTTTGATTAAGTCAATTTTCAATTTATCTAGACTATTTAATACTTAACTTTCTATAAGATGAATATTAATTGTATAATAAGAATCCAAAGCTTCCAGTGGTGTTGGTTGTGCTGTTCTCAATATACTATTTTTGGGGTTCAATATTAATATCTTGTCCGAGTAGTCAAATAGGTGGACAAGAGTGTAAAAACTATTTGTGAGGTTAGTAGTGAAAAAAAAATAAAATTGAGATCTCAAAAAAGCTTTATTGATATTCTGAAAAAAATCTATATTTCAAAATCTGTTTGCCGAAGAGACAGGTCTCAATATAAAAGGATGGGGAAATGGAATGTGGCGTTTGTATACAAGGTAGTATGACAGATGGGTGTAAATAAAGAGTTTCTATGGGTGAAATGGTTATATGGATGTATATCAAAGCAGAAACTATTTGTAATGATAAAGGTACCATTAATAGCAGATAATATTGAATACAATATTAATACAAAAATGAATAATTCAATCTTATAATTAGCCAAGAATATTCAATCACGAGCTTGAAAAATTGAAAACTTATAGAAGTAATCTGAAATTTTGTCTCAATGCCTAGCAAAGATGCATCACGTGCGTAGCCACACAAAAGAGATTGCTCACAAAGGAAATATTATTGAATGTGAATATACAAGGTTGAAGATAGTAAATGTTGTTTATGTAAAGATATAATAATGAAAAAAATAATAAAATATTTTAGATTGTGAATAAAAAATATCAAAGGAATAGTGAAAAGGATAAAAATGTATTAAGATTCAAAAAGAGCAATTAGATGTAAGAAACTTTTGATAGAATTTATGTAAATGGAGTTGGTATTCTTTAGTTTGTTAAGTGATTTTTTTGTTAAAAGCAAAATTTACCTTGGTTGTAAAAAAAAATTGTATAACAAGTTTATATCCAATTATGTAGAAAATAGATTGAAATGAAGCTAGAGTTACCATTAGATGTTAAAGATGAATTGTCTTTATATTCCTTTTTATAAAGTAAATATGTTTGATAACTGAAAAAGAAAGATGATTGTTTTTTTTATAAAAAAAATCAACTAATATGATTAGAACTACAACCTTGATATTTTAAAATACTATGATATTCAAATGAGCCAATATACAAAAGTAGATATTCTAACAAATAATATAAAAATATAAAAAAATTACAGTATCGTATTATATCCGAGGTAAAGTGTACAAGTCTTTGTTTATCATTGTCATAAGTCAAATATACAAAATTTACGGAGTCTGGATTATGATTTTGCTGAAAGAGTTTCATTCCACTTGCACAGAACAGTAGCTTCTTGTCTAATGCATTGACAGAATTGATTTTGCCTACACGAATTATATTGGACTAACTAATTTAAAGAGACTTTTTACTGTTTTTTACTCCTATCTTATTTGTAGCTTGTAGAAGGAACATGACTATTACACATCAGCATAACAAGTACACCTATAATTAAGATCTCTTTTCACTTTGATTATCATAAAACACATCTCATTTTTTAATTTCTAAGCAAGAATGGTAGACACTTGTTGATCGACATTATCATTCCTTTTAATCTTCCTAAGTTGTTATTGTACTTTGACTATCTTTTTATTTTTTTGTTAATTTCATTACACATCTTTGGTAAATTATGCACCCTCCACGCAAAGTTAATTCTTTACTATTTTTGATCTTATTGACGTGTTACTTTCTCTCTAGTTTTAAATTTCTGTCATTAAATCATATCACATTAAAAGTCAATCAAATTACTTTCAAACACAAATTAAAGTTTCTATTTTTATTTTTCAAAAGAATATAATTTTTATCACTATGAAATATATAATATTCGTTTTTATAGATTGCCAACTCATGTTTAATACTGTTCAAATTTCATTTACATCATCTTTACGTAAAATCTAAAATTTATGGGAAGACCATAGTAGGCATAACAAGATTGGACTATATAGAAAAAATATATATTATATTATTTTTGCTTAACACATAACAAATCATATTTAAACTAAATCATATTTAATTGAACACATAAATTTCTTATAAAGTATTTAAATTAGACTCTTTTAATTTAAAATTTATTTCTTTTTTGTTGTAGTCATTCTCATTAGTCTACAACATATATTATTTATTTAATTATATGCAATCATCTTAATAGGTCATAAAATTCCAAACATTTTTTACTAAAGGTTGGTGCCTATAATTAAAGAAAATAACATAGCTTATATGATTAACTTAATCAATTAATATGCGAATGAAGATACATAGAATTTTCTTTCTTTTTAAATAAATTTAAAATGCCAAATCAAAAGATCCAATTAAAATTTATAATGTCCAATTGATTCAATTGAAACATAATTTAATTTGAATACGTAAATGAGACACTCTGGCAAGGAACTGACTATATAAATTGCCTTACTATTTCTAGAATGAGAGTAATCAATACACATACATTTATTGACTAATGTATTTTTTCATTCCCTCTATATAAAAACTTTGGTAAATAAAATTGCTTGTGAAATTCCAATAAATTATCTATTTTTATCATCTCACAAATACAAATAATTAGATTTAGAGAGCGATTGAATTAACTGAAAAATTGGTTAAATTAATTTTTAAGTTAGTTTTTAACTTTTAAAATAATTGAAAAATATAAAAATAATCTAAAATAAGTTGGAAAGTGTTTGAAAATTTTAAAATAAGTCAAAATTAACTTAAAATTAGTTGAAAACTAAAAATAAATCTCACCTTGCTATTATTTTTTGACTTTTTTTAAATTTGACCTTTTATTTTTAACTTAATTTTTTTTAACAAATCCAAATAATCTCAATGCTCGAGTCGGAAATATAAATAAGCCACAAAAAAATAAAAGTGATCAAAATAAGCCACTATTATAGTAAATAACTAAAATAGGCTTAGGAGAAGAAAAAATTTTATTTTATGCAATATTTCAAACGTTCTTCGTTAGTCTCATAACATGTAAAATTTAATATAACACAAACAATTTTTTACACTTTCTAAAGTGTGAGTTTTCTTACACTTTGTAAAATAGAAGAAAAATTATGTTTATAAAGAGGAATACTTTTCACGTTTTGCATTAAATTAAATTGTATTTATTTATAAAACTTTTATAGTGTTTGTTATATAATTATATTGATGACATATCATAATGGAAAAAATTATTCCACTGTGATTTTTTTTAAAAAAATTTTAAAAACTCATTCAGACTCTATTTAAGGACGTTCAAGCAACGTTCTCCTATAACCATATTCCAAAATATATCTCTTTGTACAACATATTTTTTTTTTCACTTTATAAAGTTAGTAAAAACTTTCATTATATAAAAGGTAAGAAAAACTTTCACTTTACAAAGTGTAAAATATAATTTCATTGTATATTAAATATGCACGTCATGAGGTTAATGGAAAACATTTGAAATATTGCATCAAAACGAAATTTTCATTTCAACTAACCCTATTTTAGTTACTTATTATAATAGTGACTTATTTTGATTTTTTATTTTTTTTGGCTTATTTAGGTTCTGAACTTTCAATGCTCTACTAAATTAAAAATAAAAGTAAATTGATATAAATAAATAGAGAAAAATTCTTTTTAGCCAGAAAATTTGATCAAAATTTAACCAATATTTTATCTATGTTATTTTAACCTTTTATCTTAATGCCTTTCAATTAAAAAGTAATAAAAATAATTTATTTTAAAATAAATGTTCTTCCGTAGATAAGAAAAAGGAAAAAATAATAACAAAGCATTAAACCCACTCAAAAGAAGTTTGAAAAAAAAAATCAACTACACCACTAGCCAAAAGAAAGAAGATGAAGTGACAAATTTCAGCAAAAAAGAGAAAAAAATTCCCGCCGGGTGCAGAAGTCAAAGAATCGTACACATGCAAACCATCAGTCTGTCATTAAATAGTGCACTGAAATTATCATTCTCAAACTTAAACCAATCGGATTCGCCATCAGGAAGAAGATGAAGAGCAAAGGTAGATTAGTGGGACAAAGATGGCGGAGCATAGGGGGCTTACCTTCAATATTTCTGCTATGTCTTTTCTTGTTCTTCGCCGGTTTATTCGGTTCTACTCTCGTTTCTCATCAGGTATTTCCCTTATTATTTGCTAGACGCCTCTGTCATATGCGTTTCTAATCAAAGTGTTTGGGTGTGATAGGATGTACAACTACTTACTGTACGGCCTAGGTCAAGGGTGCTTAAATCTGTGGAAGAATTTGATGTTTTGCCTAATGGCGACACTGGAGAACACTCCCTTACTTCCATCCCCTTCCAGGTATATTTCATTGCTCAGTTCTCCTTGCTGAATTAGCGCTGGTTCGATTTCAAGTCTAACCGTTTTTGTTTGAAAAATTGTTCATACTGTAGTTGAACTTACATTAGTCCGCCAAGCTTTTTAATTATTGTTTCGATGTTCTCCTGGATTTGCACTTTTGGTTGGTTGATATGCGGATTTTCTCATAGCTATTTTATTTTGATTATCAACCGTTGAGATTGTTGCCGCTGATGCAATAATATTACTTTTCTTAATGTTGAAGTAGCATAACTTGATTTTTTCGGTAAGTAAACCAGATAGATAATGGCACAGCCCATTTGAATTGGTTTAAAAGTCGAGCAAATTACTTATCAATTTTTGACAAAAATAAAAAATAATTTAAAATAACTGAAATTGACTTAAAATAAATCAAAAATGACTTGAAATAAGTGAAAAATAAATTAAGATAGGTCTTCCTTGCTTTTTATTTTTTTAACTTGTTAAGTCATTTCCGTTTGACTTTTTAATTTCAACTTAAATAACTATTTTTGTAAGCCAATTCAAACGTGTTCTAAGTAAGTTTAAGAACAAATATGCATACTCTAATTTCTCTTATTCTGCCACTTCATCTACACTTTCTGCTTATATTTCTATGATTCCTGTTTTTCTATGGTTGACTGGGGGAAGATTTGTGTGGAGGAAGCAGTGAAGTAGGCATGTCATTAAGTCTATAGGCAAAATAGCTGGTAGCTGTGACTGATCATGTTAGCTTCCTAAACATAAACCTAAGCTGGTAAAAATTTTGTTCATGGTACTCATTGACTATAAAGTCTAGTATCTCTGATTTGCATTAGTATTCATTTGTTTTGGTTTATCTTATTTGACATCGACTTCAATCTTTTGGGTAGGTCTTAAGCTGGTTCCCACGTGCATTATACTTTCCCAATTTCGCAACTACAGAACAATGCCAAGGCATAATTAAGATGGCAAAGGCAGAACTGAAACCATCATCTTTGGCTCTCCGCAAAGGAGAAACAGCAGAAAATACCAAAGGAGTTAGAACAAGGTAAACAATACTCTGGTGTTCTATGTGTCCTGACTGATGTTTTGTCATAAATGCAATCTTTTCACTCTTTCCAAGCATTAGATTTAACTCTTAATACACTCATACTTCCATAATATCTATTTCTAGTAGACAAGATAAATATGTCACCAAAATTGAGTGTGTTCACATACATTTTCTACTTTTTTGGAAGATAAAATTGTTCATGGTGTTTGAACTGGCCATATGTCTCTGTCCTTTTTCAGGTCATTTGTTTTATATTTCTTTGATCTGTTGTCAAGACTATTTGATAAAAGTTTGCTGCCTCTTTTGGTTTTGACATGAAGTTACAATTTGAATGACTTTTGCTTTTCCCCCTTTCCCACAGTTCTGGTATGTTTATCAGTGCATCTGAAGACAAAACTGGAATTCTGGACCTCATTGAGGAGAAAATCGCAAAGGCGACTATGATCCCCAGGACACACGGAGAGGTGAATTTCATTTAAAACACACATCTTAAATATGACGCATGAAGTGGTTCTTACTGTGTATTAGTTTTATCATTCCATCCACACCTCAGAAATTGGATCTCAATAGAGGACATAATAGTTGTATTATTGGTGGGGAATCATTTTCCCAAGCTTCTTCATTTCCTTCCTCTTCTTCATCTTCTATTTTCTTGAAAACTATGTTGATTCAAGCTCTGGTTCTACTTCTACAAAATGCTGGACAACTATATTAGTGATTTTAGGTTTCCACTAGCAAATGCATTCTTCCAATTGTTATCAACACTGAAGAAAACAAGTCTTTTGGTGTTGGAGGTAAATATTAACTGGTTGTACAATCACATTTTTTTTTACCAGATTTAAGGCCATATATGTCAAACACCAAACATATTTTGGTCTTCGTGTTCTTTTCACCTCATATCTGAAAATTTAAATGGGTATCTGCTGCGGAAAGATGGAATTGGTCTGCTTTTGTTTTTGGACAGATCAGTATGTGTTAGCAATGGCAAGATTAAATTGACACTACAATGATCATTGAATGGAAATGATATGATTATTTTTTGTCCGAATCATTCATACCGTACCAATATAGATTTTTGTCAAAGGTTTCACATGGAAATTTAACTTGAAAATCCTATATATATTTCCATTTGAAAGCTTTTTGTTCCAATTTTACTTATGCAAAAGAGCTCATTCGATGTAATTGACGGTTCGTTTCCTCTTCTATATGAACTATCCAGCTGTCACATGGTCTAGTCTGTATGTATTCTAACAAGAGACCATGACAAAACAATGAGGCAACAGATCAAGGTGTGCATTTTAACAGGAAGTTAGAGAACTGAACATCTCTTGCTGCTGTATACTTTAATTTATAGTTGGGGATATCTGGCTTTTGAGTATTATCTGAAACTGGAGTTCTTTTGCTGGATTCCCGGATATTTGTTCGATTTCGTCCTAGAATTGAGTCAAATGTGATGATGCAAATAATTCTTGCTATGTACATTATGCATCTGATAAATAATAGGTAGTCAGGCTGTAACCCCTTTGTGTCTGGACTTTCTCTTATTTTCATATAGTGATTCTGAATGATTTTTCTGTTAATGAAAGCTCCAAGTATGGTGTACAGTGATCATAATTGCTGTTTAACTTGAATCAGTTGACCTGTGCGTTTTTCAGGCATTTAATGTTTTGCGGTACGAAATAGGCCAGAGTTATTATTCACATTATGATGCGTTTGATCCTTCTCAATATGGTCCTCAGAAGAGCCAAAGGGTATGCACTATCTACTTGGGTAAATTGTTGCTGTTAACTTTTCCAATTGACTTCTTAAATTTTTTACTAGCTCAATTCTTGCACAAACTAGCATAATGAATGGTGCATGGATTTGAGTGTTTGGTTATTGGGATAAGATGGTGTTGTTTTTCATATGCATGTTTCTTCCAATCCTCCTCCATCAAAAATATTTTTAGAATGGGGAAAATAAAGTTTGTTTGAAGCTATGGTTCATAAGACACTAGTTTGCAGATCCATTTCAATGACTTAATTTATACATGGAATCACCAATGGTGTGTTATCTGGATCACCACAAGGTGTATACAGCATTTCTTCCATTTAGAACTTTGTGGAACCCACATTAGTTTTATCCTTAATAAGCATATAGTTTTATCCGTTATATACATCTCTTTTTCTTTTATTTTCGCCCCTTTTGATGAAAAAGTTCTGTTTTTTGTCATCGATCCTTACATAACCATCATTTGTGGAGTGTTTAGAGCAAGTGTGCCATAGACTATAACTATGAAATTTGACATTTCATAATAGCTCAAATTGCAGTTAATTTTGAGTAATGATTATTTTCAGGGCCAGTCTAAAAATAATGTATTTTCATTTAGGTTGCATCCTTTTTGTTATATTTATCTGATGTGGAAGAAGGTGGAGAAACCATGTTCCCTTTCGAGGTGAGTTCAAAGTTGTTTCTTCTTTCGTGGACTATTATTATATTTCTGCCTCTCATGTCGTGTAAATAAGTCCTTTGGTTAATTTACAGAATGCACAGAATATGGATGTTAATTATGACTTCCGCAAGTGTATTGGTCTGAAAGTGAAGCCGCGTAGAGGGGATGGACTACTATTTTACTCGCTGTTTCCAAATGGTACAATTGATCCGGTGAGTATTTGCTTGTAGATTTTAGTGTGATCGCCGTATTTCTTTGCATACAAAAGAAGTCTGATCCTTGGGGGGTAGGCCATCATCTACCGGAGCCATGTGCCTAGTCTCGAGGATCTCTGTTATTTTAACAAGGGTTGGTCATAACAGCTATGCAGCAAGCCAAGCATATTGTGAACCATTTATGACCTTATACTTTATAGCAGATGAATAGTATAAAGTGGATTTATATGATGCTGTTATGAAAATTTGTTACAAATGAGATTATCAGCAATAGGTTTGTTGGAACAGAAGACAAACTTTCTGTGCTCTTTTGCAGCGCGGTATACCATCATGCGCAGAGCTGTGATTCTTTTAGGATTTTAAAGCATTAGGAGTTGCCCACAGAATTAAAGATGATAAAGTTAAAGAAATGCCTACATCTTTCCAATGTCTTATTTGCTTTTGGTTTTGTTCTTTTTGTTTGTTTTGCTGTGTGTTTTCTTATTTCCTTTCTGCGGGAACCGTTCTTGATCAATCTGTCTACCATGATGCTATGGAGATGTTTGCTGAAGAGTCGCTATGGTGCTGCTAAAATCATTTTTGCTGATTGTGATTTATCAGTGTGAATGGTAGCGCATATTAGGTACCACCCCATCGAACAGATACTGATGGGAAAGGTTATAATATTGGTTCCCGTATGGCCTGTTTCACTGTTTCATTTTCTGTTGCTGATTCATCTCCTCTGGCTACTACTGGTTATAAAGCTGAATACTGATTACCAACATTATATCAGACTGCTCATGTTGGCTTGCAGTTACTCACATTTGTAAATCTCTTATGTAGACATCTCTTCACGGGAGCTGTGCAGTAATCCGAGGTGAAAAATGGGTTGCCACAAAGTGGATCAGGGATCAAGAAATGGATGAATAAACGAGTACATGTCTGGAAGTGGTGTTAATATAATTCTTTCGTAATTTAATGTAGCCACTCACTGGAACCTTTGAGCGAATTTTACAGTAAATATATCTAGTGTTTGTTCATATTGATCTGTGTCAGTTAACCCTTAATACGTTACTTGAGTCTTGGTTGCTCCCATTACCCACAAAGCTCACCCCATCTTGCAGTAAAAAAGAAGTCTAATTGTAATGACCGTGCGAATGTTTTGTAATAGGATCAGATCACGTGTTTCAAAAGTGTTGTACTAACACAAATATTATTATGACGCTAAAAAGAATGTGTATAGACCAATTGCTTCTCATTAATTGGGACCAATGGAGAATTTAACTGAAATTTCCCTTTAAAAAAATATCATACTAACAAAATTTTTTTATTTATAATATAAAAAAAATTATAAAGTTAAATTCTTCATCACTGAAGTTGTATCGGAACATATTTACCAAAGTTTAATTGGTAGAGCATGAACATAGCTTTGTATTCAGGAAATGCTTACACCTCATTCAACTTCTTTACACGAAAACAAACACGCGTCAACACCATATAACTAACAGAAAAACTTATATATATGGGAAAAGGCCAACAAACAGATAAGATAGGGATAATATTAATATAACAGAGAGGAGAAAGAAAAGAAATGGAAAAGCAAAGAGATAGTAATAAGGGATGTATAGATGAGAGAAAACTAGAAGGATTGCCAGTGGATACAAGTCCATATACACAGTATAAGGATTTGGAGGATTACAAGCAACAGGGTTATGGAACACAAGGCCATCAACAGCCCAATCCTGGGCGTGGTGCTGCCAGTTCCACCGACGCCCCAACCCTCGCAGGTGGTGGATCTGCTGAAGCTCAGCTTTCTGCTACTGACAACATCAATCGCCAGGGTGTTCCTTAATTAATTTCGTTAATTTTTAGTCGCATTTACAACAGTTATTCCTTTTTTTTACTTGGGTAAAATACGTATATGTAGAATAATAACAATAAGAACGTTCTGAATTAGTGATTCTAGATCTTAGATTCGTCCCTGTTTGGTGTTGTTTGTATGTTCCTTCCGTCGGCTTGTAACTTAATAAATATATTTTTCTAAAAATAAGTACTACTCAATTAGCAAGCAATGCTGTAATTAGATGATCGAATAAACTTCAAGTTATTTCCCACTTGTCCTTTGTAGATTGTGGTTAAAAGAAAATATATCTCTTACTAAATTAGTCTAAAAATCATATATTAAGAAACGAACAAAAATGTGTTGACATAAAACAAGTTATCATGGAAAGTGACATTCACTAAATAAGATGGTTGTATTATGCGTTTGTTTGTGTTTGCTATGAATGTTTATAAAATTAAAGAGTGTTACAGACTTACAATTACCCATTTTTTTCATTTAAAATGTTTTTATGGTCCCATCTTTTTGGCCCCGTGATAGTTATTCTTCACCTAGTCTTTAATATGCTGTTTTGTCCGTCGTTTTCCAGAAGATAGATAATTAACAAGTTTTACTATGTTCTTAATCCTTTTGAGTATTATTCATCCTAAAATCAACTAAATTCACTCCTGAAGAGCTTCTTCAGGAATATTTTTTTTTAAAACTGAGTTAGTCGATTACTTGAATTTTTTGGTGACACGTTAGGTTATTCAATTCTCGATGATGAAGTGGTTCGATACCTTCCTTTAATTATTTTTTTAAAAAGAATATCTTCCCATAATTGCGAGCTACATTCCAAAATTAGAAACTTCGTTTGTTGATCTTGCAATTGGATCACTAGAGTGAAAGCTCTGATGAGCTGACCTTTTTTTGTCAAGTAACAAAAAGCTTCAGCAATACTTAATTAGATTGATGTGATTAAAAGTAGCTATTTTTAGTAATTTCAAAATTGTTAATTTCCTGTCCACATGTTCCAATTTTATAAAAAATCAACTGCTAAACTCACGCAATTTCCATCGGAGGAATTTAATTTTTGTTAGGGTTCTGATCCGATTTTTTTTTACCTCATTTTAAATTTTAAAAGAAAATTTAAGACATTAAATATTTTTTCATATTTAGTCTATTATTTTCTTTTAAAAAAGAGTTTTGGATAGTTAGATTTTTTCAGTAAGAAAATATTGTAGCACTCTATAAATATATGTTTGTTTCTTCTAATATGATATATTAATAACATTTATAATGTACTCTTTTATAGATTTTATTGAGTCCAAAGGAAAAAAGGAAAAAAAATGTCAGAAATTTTAATAATATTTTTTTAATTAAAAGGGAAAAATCGCTATTGATTGAGTGATTTTTTTTTGACAAAATTGAAACCTTTAATTTTTAAAAAAAAACACAAATCGTTATTTCCTCCATTTAAATTCTTTTTTCCTTAAAACTGCTGTCACGACAGCGATTTTGTCAAACTTCTATTTTAACAAAGCTGCCAATGTAGGATTTTTCTCAAAAAAAATTAGCTCAATTGTTTGGGGCCTGCCTCTATTGCTGCAAAGAGACGAAGACCAAAATGGGTGCTTTTGTTAAGCTATTGGACTTGCTTGTTTTTGTTTACTTCTTGTTGATCAACATTGTTGCCCTTCCAAAACACATATCTCCTCTTGTGTTGGTTGACCTAAAGAGTTGGTACAAACTCCACAATATGATGATTATTTGATTTGTGAGAAATCCCATTTTCAAGCCTTGCAAGCTATTTTTTTTTTTAAATATTAACTTTTGTAAGAAAAAGGAATTCAAATTTTTAAAGTTCTTTTTATAGAAAAATACAGGCGCAGGGATAATTAAAAAAAAATATTGGTGTCAATTTTGTCAGAAGAAAGTCGATCAGGAGCAATTTTACCTTTTTGATTAAAGAAAATTTTAATATGCCCTTTTAAAATTTTGCTTTTTTATTCTCTCTAAATTTTCAATATTTTTCTTTATATTAATTTTAATATAATAATATTTTAATTTTTAATATAAATTTTTATCATTTAATTTATCAATCATATTATAATTTACAAATTATAAGCTTCCGCGGTCATATCACTCCCTTCATATCAGCAACAATCTTTTAGTCTACGGATATTGTGCTTTATCCGTAGTAAAAGTAATGACCACTACTTTTACTTCATTAACAGCTATTTAGCCTTGGTTAAAAACACATTGGAGCGTTATCTTTTTCAACCGACACAATATATCTGTTAATTAATTTAAATTTTAATTAGAAGGGAAAATAAAAATATATAAAATCGTAAAAGAAAAAAAAAAGCAAGAGAACCACAAGCTCTTTAGTGGTAGGGTGAAGCTTGTGACATTTGGCCATACCTTACCTTAAGAGTAGGCAAAAAAGACAAGTGAATATTAAGAGACCAAGCAAGATTCACAATTTTGGATCACAAGCTTTCCATGAAAGAACATTCATGTCAATTCACCAAATTAAATACTTTTGCCTTAGTTTTACTCACTAAATAGCGATGCGTAGATCATATTATATTCAATCATTTTTCGTTGAGATTAATCATATAAGAATTGTTACGCCATAAATATAATTACGTTATAATTTTTTTCATTAGTCATTATTGTTACGCAATAAATAGAATTACATTATGATTTTTTTTCATTAGTCACTATGATGCACTACCATACTAATTTAGGTAAACCGACAATGATTATTTCTGATATGATAAACTTGATTTGATTATTATAATTATTCATGCATGATTTAATTAGTACTAATACGGCAAAAATAACAATTCTTTATGTATAATAAAACAAAACATTACGAAATATCTTTAAAAAGTTATCCACAACCACCGAACCATATGCCTCTTTACCACTCACAGAGTAACGTTAACACAATTTAAAAACTCACCGAACTTCTTAAAATTCGTCTCAAATATTTTAATTGTCTCCATCAAACATTACAATTTGCCTATATTAATATAGAGGTGGTTGCGTGCCATTGTACCTATATATATATATCAATTGCTATTTGTGGTGTCACCTTCTTATTAATAACGACAGTATCTAATACCAAATATTATGTCTAGTAGTTCAATTCACCATTCAAAGTCCAAACAAAAATGGATCCCTTTCAAAATTTCAAAAAATATCGCAGCCAAATCCATAAACATATTTTTTTATAATATAATCTATATAAATTAATACCATTCAAATGCATGCATTGTTAAATTAAAGTAGTCCCCACCATCTTCACTCTTCCCAAGTAGTAACAGAGAAGCCCAACTTTATTTTTCTCCGTAATAATCATTTGAAAGGCTTAAAAAAGCTCCACGCTGCTAAAAAAAAAGCCGGCTTTATTTGCGCCCCAATAGTATTCTTGACTTACAAACAAGGAACGAACAATTTTCTATTGTCGCCTGCAAGCTTATTCCTACATCCCATTTGTCTCCCTCTTTATATAACTGTTCCTCTTTTTTAACTATATTATTCTATATCGACCTCGATCAACAAGAACAAGAGCAAGAAAAAATGATGAAAATTACTAGGGAAAGCGAAGAAATTGTTCTCCTCGAAGAACAATACGATGAATTAGAAGACGAATATGATGAAGAAGCATTATCACTGTGTGATCTTCCGAACAATGAAGAGGACGAAAAGAAGGAAGAAGTTTCTAGAAGTACTAGCGTAGAAGGCGGACAATTAGAAGATTTTGATTTTAGCTCTTCTGGTGGTAATTTGTTGAAAGAATCAGAGATGTGTACGGCAGATGAAATTTTCTACAAAGGCCAAATATTACCGTTGCGTCATTCAATTAGTTTGCCAAGTGATCGGCGCAATTGTCATGATACAAATTCAAGCAGTAGAAGTAGCAGTATTCGAAGCCAACGTTCATCTAGCAGTGGCAGTTCATCTAATTTCAACACGAAATATCAGCCTAAAATTCGAAATCAATTTCATTCTCATCCTAGTCCAACACCTCAGGTTCGATTTTCTAAAGTTAGTTTTCAATCAAATGTCAACAATTCCACACGAAAATCAGCATTGTGGAGTCTATTTCGCGTTGGCCTAGTTACACCACCAGAAATTGCATTACAAGATCTGAAAAACAGAGGAAACAGGGATATTTCAGGAAGTCGAAATAGCACGAGCAGTAGTAGCAGCGGGAGCTTCGGCAATAATGATAATAAGATGAGAATTAAGAAAACGAAACAGAGGTTTTCTCTAGGCAGCTGTAAATGTTCAGCAAATGTGGTAGAAACAGTTCCAATCGTGAACAGTAGAAGTACAATTAAGAAAATAAGAAAAGCCACAGGGGACCATGAACATGAAGATAAGAAGGATTCATCAGAGAATATCAAATCGACAAAAAAGCAAGCAATGTCACGTCATCGAACGTTTGAGTGGTTAAAGCAACTTTCACTAGAAGGTCCATCAGATGAAACATAAAGATTTCAAAGTATCACGCATGCTTAGCTTCTTTTTTTTCTTCTTTTTTTCATGTAATGTAATGTAACTTTTTTTTTTTTTTGAGTAGTGGAATCATGAAGTTGATTAATTGAAGTAATTGAGGACGCAATTATAATGGTAGCCAAAAAAGAGCTAAGGTGTACGTTTGATGTGAACTGTGATTAAATAATGACCATTATTTTTTGTCTTTGAGTAAAATTAATAATTGAAGATGGGAAGGCCGTGATGAGTGGAAAGCTGGGAGTGTAGTGAATTTTGTGGCGTGGTTGATGATGCCATTGCTTGTCATGATTAAAGTGTGAACTTTCATGAAATTGTTTTACTACTTTTTCTATTGGAGGATTTTAATTTCCAGTCCTATTGGGGGCTGATATTTAAGTTACTATAAATGAGAAGTTTGGTATCCAATGAAAATTGAGATATTTTACTTGCATGTTAATATTATATAGATTTCTATTAAATGCACAGCCACCTTAGAGAGGCACTAGAAGGCTTAAAGAAACAACAGAAGAACAATGAACCAAAAGACTTATTAAGATTAAATAGATATATTCTTTCTTGTCATTAATTATAAAATTTCGGTTTTTTTTGTTATTCAAGATTCTCCGAATCGCTCGTCCTTTCAGTGATGGATACAACGAAAACACAAATTCCCATTTCACTAATTGCTAAAGAGTTGTAGAAAAAATGATATACTAATTTATGATGTATATAAGCGATTGTTATATAAATTATGATTAATCTTTAGATATTATCTATATCTTCATATCTCACCAACATTTTTATTAATACTAATTATATAAAAATGGTTTGAAATTTTTATTGTTTGATTATGTTTGTTTGAAAAATTATGACCCAAATTCCAAGCAGAATGTTATTTCAAAATTAAATTCCAGTGGAACGTAGTGTTCAGCCAGAAGACCAGTTGACCAGCTAAACAAATTTGAATTTGAAAAAATCTAAAGTTAGTATATTCTCTACCGGTTACTGTGGACCGTTTCATTTCATTCATATTGTCCCTTTCATATTTTGGGAATTTAGAATAAAAATCGCAAGTATGGGTACATTATTTTTTTTATTGAAACTAAAGCATTCAATAAAGTTTAAATTCTACCATCGATAATATAAGAAATGTTTTATATAATTGATGAAGTTTTTATGAGGTATAATTTCAAACGAATATTTATAGAAATCATTATTTTCTATGATAAATCAGTTCATAAATTTGTATATACTCTCTGCTATTACATGTTTGCTTCACTTCAGCTATCATACTAATTGTTAGTACAATATTTCAGGTGAGATGCACCTTTCATCTCGAATAAGGCAGCACGGTGCACAAAAGAATCCCATATTCACACAGGGCTCGGGGAAGGGCAACACCCTAGCACCAAAAAAAAATCTCAGAAAGCAAATTACGATCTGTGCATAAATTATTTTGAGAACTACCTCCTACTGGTCCTCCAAAATCAATGTTAGCAGAATAGACTGGTACACTACACTGCAGAGTGCAGGCTCAAGGCGCCATCTCCAGGCGCTTGATGTTCTGAGCTTGCCAGGATTAAATCCCTTTGGGCAAGCACGAGAACAGTTCAAAATAGTGTGGCAGCGATAAAGCTTGAATTCATCATTAACTGCGTCCAGGCGCTCCAGAGTATGTTCATCACGGCTATCCATGATCCATCTACATTTAAAAGTTGAGATATAACCCCTTTCAGTACATATAATAATGAACAACATCTGAAATAGCAATGGATAGAAGGGTTAAGGGGGTAGAGCAACTTATATACAATCCAAACCTCTTAATAACATCAAGGCAAGTACAGAAATTTCAGAAATTTAAAACTCTTATCCCCTCATCATGCAAATGACCGAGGGAAATAACGTTCTACATCTCTGAGCACATAAATCATACAACTCTAAAGGCAGTTTGGAAAGAAACCTAAACCATCCGTTGAGTAGTTGAGTTTGCCCCCACAGATATCAGCATCTCTCTAATATTCCCTTTGGCATAATAAATTTCCAAGTTTGTAGAACTGAACAGAAAAGGTCCCTTCATCTGCATTTGGTGTCATTATTTTTAAATGATGACAAGCGCAGAATGTAATATGAACATTTTCCATCCACACTTGAAATTTCCGCATTGAGAAAGAATAACAGACAATGGGTGCTTGAGCACACACCAAACATAATGTAGGTCAACCCTGCAGCTAATCTAAGAATTGAGAAAAGCTGATTGTTCTAGAGAGGAACGATCAGAACAATAGGTGCGGGGTGCTCCAAGAAATAGTTGTGATGGCGTAGACAGCAGAGGGAATGAGAGAGCAGGGCATGATGTTTATGCAAAGGAGGAAATACCTAGTTTCCTCTGCAGATTAGTTAGGCTTGGAGAGCACAGACAAAAAAACTAATCACATGATAGTCAAAAATCTGAAAGATTGTATAGGTAAAAAGAGATGTTGCTTGGATATTCTTAAATTTTGAGTCAAATAACAGAGATGCCATAGGTTAGAAACTAGCAACAAAGAAATGAACCAACAAGGGATTAGCAGGTTGAGAAAAGTAATATGTTTCAAAGTTGTCTAGTGATAACTCAGAATAATATCCAAGACTTCCATAGAAGTTGCATTTTACCAAACAATAAGATCCTACCGCATACGATTCATCAAACTTCTACAAGAAGTTGCACCTCATATAAATGAGATTCACTTTGTATCTAAAAGGAACACAACTTTCTTAATCTGATACAATTTATTCACACAAAATTTATGGGCATCCTGTTACATTTAAGCACAAGTACCATACATGTTGTTGTACTTACTAAAATCTTACTGACCATGGTTACTCGACTAATTTCATGAGATACATGCTACCTACCAGGCTAACACCAATAAGGAATATAACGGTAACTCTGCCGACAAATTATAGGTATCTTTAACTTATTATTTGATCCAAATGCAACCAGAATATAACAATTTAAAAGATACAGAACATTAAAAGAGAGTGAAGTCAAAACAGGAAGAGCTTAACATGAAAAAAAAATCAAGTAAATATTACCTATTGGCATGGAGTAGTGCAGCAGGACCAAGATAAGACTCAGGATTCCACCAGTAGCTAGGGCATGATGTACTACAACAAGCACAGAGAATACACTCGTACATCCCATCCAACTTAGCCTTATCGCTCTTGCTCTGAGGTATCTCCTTTCCAGGCGTTGGCGCAGGTGTTTTTCTCTTCAGCCAAGGCTCAATAGACTTATACTGATTATAAAAATTAGTCATATCCACTACCAAATCCTTAATCACAAACATATGTGGCAGTGGCGTAATCGTCGATACAGAATCCGATGAGATCTTTGTCAAACAAGCGAGTCCATTACAGCCGTCGATGTTCATGGCACAGGACCCACAGATCCCTTCTCTGCAAGATCTTCTGAAGGTTGGTGAAGGGTCAACTTCATTCTTGATTTTGATTAGGGCGTCTAAGACCATAGGGCCACATTCCTTCAGATCAATTTTGTATTCTTGGAGCTCGGGTTTCCCTGGGTTATCTGGATTCCATCGGTAAATTTGAAACGACTTGAGGTTGGACCTGCTGGGATTTGGTGTCCGAAGCGTGAGCTCGGGCAACAAGTAGCCTCGCCGCCGGCGAAGATGACTGAACCCTATAAATAGCTCGTCGGATTAAACCAGTAGCCATTGATATTACAGCTCTTCATCTTCGTATTACATATACATAAAAGTCACTCTCTTGTTTTTCAGAGAAAATGACAAAATGGTCCCTTATGTTTAAGGATAATTTAAAATGGTCCTTATGCTCTGCTGTACGTTAAAATAATCTCACAAATATACACTTAAATGCTCTGCTGTACGTTAAAATAATCTCATAAATATATACCAACAATTTTGATCTTTCAAGTTCGTCACAAGTTAACAAAAATGGTGCCTTGTATTTTGTTCCTTAAGCATGCACTTATTAGTTTTGTTTCTTAAAAGATAGAAATAAATCATAACACTTTGAGTATCTAATAAATTATATACGAACTACATCTGTATTATATTTATCAGAAGTATAGAAGAATTTAGTTATAAAAATAAAAAAAATTCACCCAATTCTAAAATAGGTAATACAAAAAACTACACAAGTTAGATAGAAACAATTTATACGCTTTACTAAACTGAACCGAACTTAAAATAGCAAAGACTACTTATCATGACACCCCTTAATGATGTTATTTTCACTAATTATCATGACAAAAATACCTAAAAAGTCCCAATCTCAAATAAATCAAAATCAACTAAAATTTTCTTTGTCAATATTGCTTCACTTAGGTATGTCTTAACTTCAACCATATGTTTCACACAATGATGTAAATAATGCGGCTAATAATTTCCCTGATTTGTTCTTTTTTTTCCACACGCGTTAGTTTTAGTGGGGCACGCACAATTTCTACTATTTCAGTCTCAAGTCTTTGGTTTCCCATTTTTCTTCCTTGTGGAATAAAAGTCTCTAGTCTTGTTCCAACGTAGAGACAATAAGCAAAAATATAAATTTCCGCTTACCAATAAATACGTCGTCTTCTTTCTTTTCTTCAAAAAAAAAAAAAAATCCTCTTTCACTCTACAGCCAGCAGTCTAAGATGTTAAGCTCCTGTTTTGGGAGCTGCTTTGGTGGGGACGATGGTGATGATCTTTTATGGCATATGGACTTGAAGCCACATGCCACAGGTGAATATTCTGTTGCTGTAGTTCAGGCCAATTCTTTGCTTGAAGATCAAGGTCAAGTTTTTACAACCCCTAGTGCTACTTATGTGGGTGTTTATGATGGTCATGGTGGCCCGCAAGCTTCTCGCTTCATCAACAACAATCTCTTCCCTCAACTACAAAGTATGTACTATTTCTTGATACTATTTTACTACTATGAAAGATTGGGTTCACTCTGTTTCTTGTCAGTGGGGTCTAATAGCAAAACTATGCTAGTGCAAATTTTCTAATTTTATATTTCTAAACCTATAATTTTTTTTGACTTCTTGATTGTTGGTTTATGTGGTGTGTTTAGTTAGTATGTTGAAATTATCATGAGATTGATCAGGGGAGGCTGGGAGAAAATTGACTTGGTCATGCGTGGAGTAGAGGAGAAAAAGGAATTGAGCTTGTTCAAATTGTAGACATGTTTAATTTTTGAATGTTTGAAATAGGTGTAATTAGAGATATCATTTTGTGTTTGATTTCCTTGT